ATGCTATGGAGGACAAATCGCCTACGAAAACATATTTATAATTCACGAATTACGATGCTCCTAGACAACGAGAAAGCTTACAAACGTGACAAGACAGAGATCACCACCAGAGAGAAAGTTTAGTGCTAAGGTCATATCTAATAAACACTAATTATTTGCGCTCTTCTCCCCCTTGAAGTTATCCACTCTTGCTGTTGCTCATCTCCCCTTGTCCCCCCCCCCCCCGGCCCCTCCTCCCCCCCCCCCCCCCCCCTTCCCCTGCTTCCTTCATGGCCACGGGTATAGGACACAAGGGCGGAAGACGCGTGGGCGGAGGTCGCGTAGGCGGAAGACTTGAGGGCGGAGGACGCAAGGGCGGAAGTTTCCTAAAAGGTTGGACACGAGGGCGGAGGTCGCGAGGGCGGAGGTCGATCCCATGATTTGGGCGGAAGACTCGTAAAACGATCACATGTCCTAAATGCTCGACTGGTAATACTACAAAACCGGAAACATCACACAACGTACTTCAAATTGTATAAATTATATAAGTTATATTCAATCAAAGTTATATTCAATCATTTTAGTGGTACTGATTTCGAATTCTTTGTAACTTTACAAACAAAATACACAGGGTTATACTTATAGAGAACGCTTAACGGTAATATAAATCACAATGTAATCAATCAATTTTGTCAAACCCGAATAGAATAATATCACAATAACATAAACATTTCACATAGCACAACATCATCCTCGTACGAATGGTAGTTCTGAACTATGCTGAAGATTCTTCTATCCTTGTCGCTATTGGCCTTCCTCCTCTTAGGCTGCTGCTCTCCAAGCGAATTCGCTAAGGTCTTCTTGTCTGTCGAGGACTGTTCCATCTGGACTAGGAGATTCTGACGTTGTGACTCAAGTTGTTCGTTTCACTGTGCAATCTTTTCGTGTGAAAACTGTTGATCATATCCCAGAAGCCCTTGTGTCATGTGAGTCAAACTATCGAATCGAGTCACGTGATACATAACTTCGACTCACGTCATGAATCACCATGGTCATGATCTCATATAACACAACGGTATGTGAGGACATCACAACATCACGTAAACTGATCTGGGATATGATCAACTGTTTTCACACGAAGAGATTGCACAGTGAAACGAACAACTTGAGTCACAACGTAGACGACTCGAGAGACAACTAGTATATTTAAGACCGATGTTGGGAATAGAAGTATCTTATTATTTAGTTCCAGCTACATCTCAACTACTACAATAACAACCATGTACGATGAAGATACAGTAAAGATTATCAGAGGAAGGACTCCTACCAGTCAGAATCTCCTACACGGTGGTTTCCGCTACTCTAAGGATGGAAAGCTTACCACCGATGGACGCCAAGCCTGGAGATGTGTGAGGAAGAAAGACTGTTGCCGTGGTCGTCTGTATACCCGCAGATCTTCAACTGGAAGAGGACGACTGCAGATCCCTCTCCGGTGAACCTATGCTTCAATACGACAACAACCTGGACGATCGACGTGTCATCATCTTCGCAACAAAAAACAACCTGACAGCCCTAGAGCAGAGCAGCAGCTGGTTTATCGACGCAACCTTCTCATCCTCACCGCAGCTGTTCTATCAGTTACTGACTGTCCACGCGGAGATGGTGAACGTCACGGAGGATTCAACCTGGTGCTTCCCTTGCGTCTACATTCTCCTGACCCACAAGGACACTCCCATCTACATGGAAGCGTTCGGCGCCCTCAAAAACCTTGGTTCCTTTTCTCCAGACCGAATCATGGTGGACTTTGAGCTCGCCCTGAGGAACGCCCTATCGTCTACATTCGAGTCAGCCCAAGTGGATGGGTGCTTCTTTCATATCTGCCAGGCTGTCATGAGAGCTGTCGGGAGGCTTGGATACAAGGAGGAGTATGAAAAAGTCCTGACAGATCCCTCATCTGGCCAGAAGAACTACACCCCTACACGAATCTGGATACGGAGACTGATGCTCCTAGCCTTCATCCCCACCGAGGACGTCATCGAAGCGTTTTTCAGAATCCTGGATGAGATACCGATAGGCCTCGCCATTGACGATCTCCTGGCATACTTCCAGACCACTTGGATCCAGGGACTAACGACTGCCTCCGGCACCGGACGAGCTAAATTCCCTCCGTCCACGTGGAATGCCTATGAACGCAGCCACTTCAACATGAACCGGACAAACAACGTGGTGGAGTCCTGGAACAAGAAGTTCTCTGCTCTAGTCGGACACGCAAACCCGACCATCTACAATTTCATTGCAGCAGTCCAGATGGAACAGTCCTCGACAGACAAGAAGATCTTAGCGAATTCGCTTGGAGAGCAGCCGCCTAAGAGGAAGAAGGCCAACAGCGACAAGGATAGAAGAATCCTCAGCATAGTTCAGAACTACCATTCGTACGAGGATGATATTTTAACCTATATTGATTTGCTAAAGAGTGCTATGTGAAATGTTTATGTTATTGCATGATATTATTCTATTCGGGTTTTGACAAAATTGATTGATTACATTGTGATTTATATTACCTTTAAGCGTTCTCTATAACCCTGTGTATTTTGTTTTTAAAGTTACAAAGAATTCGAAATCAGTACCACTAAAATGATTGAATATAACTTATATAATTTATACAATTTGAAGTACGTTGTGTGATGTTTCAGGTTTTGTAGTATTACCAGTCGAGCATTTAGGACATGTGATCGTTTTACGAGACTTCCGCCCAAATCATGGGATCGACCTCCGCCCTCGCGACCTCCGCCCTCGTGTCCAACCTTTTAGGAAACTTCCGCCCTTGCGTCCTCCGCCCTCAAGTCTTCCGCCTACGCGACCTCCGCCCACGCGTCTTCCGCCCTCCTGACCGGTTCCCCATGGCCACGCCTTGCTCATTTCGAACATGTCACATATTGCAGGGATTTACCTTTTTTTGTTGCTACATACATGCCTCAAGCGTTTTGAACAGTCTTCAAGAAAGTAACAAATAATTGAAATTCAACTGTATTTGCTGTTACGAGCAGGGAGACAATGCCCGCGAAACATTTTTTGCAAATTTCTCCGCTCCAAGATAACAACAACGCTAACAGGAAGTCTTAAAAAAGTAACGAAACAAAGGTAACTGCCACGGGAAATTTTGTTTAGTACTAAATACTACTTAGTACTAATTCTTTTTCGCTCCTATTTATATTATTTTTAAAGTTTTCCCGATGACCATGCTCTTAGTTTTACATGTGCTTATTTCGTACACCTCTTTCTTATTGCTCTAATTGCTACATGCCTTAAGTTCCTAAAGTAAACCGATTTGAATTTCTTGAATGTTACAAATAATTGAAATTCCCCTGTCTTTTCTGAATTAAATTCTTTGCAGTATTACTTGAAGCAAGTTCTTTATTCCATATATTCCAGGATGTTATAAGCTAGGAAACTGTCACTCTTGACAATGATATCCTACACATACGTATATGTACACATTTTTTTACATGCCGTAACTTTAGAACAGGGCGCCACTTTCTATTATTATAATATGTGAGCACTGCAAATCCTAACATATAACTGTAACCCTATATAATATAACTCGGACAGATATCTGTCAAAACGAGGAAAACTCCCATGGAATTGTCAAAATTTTAAAACTTTTGAATGACAGTCATCATAACTGAAAATACTGCAAAATACAGGCATTGAGCGGTTCTTGACGTACTATTTATGTTATAATTTCATTTCTACCTGTCTAACTTATTAGCTTTGATTCTCTGGGGCTACCGTATATATAAGGAAACCTTTTGAAATCCTGGAATATTGTTACCTCGGCCGAAAAATTATTACTAACTCAGTACTGAGTAAAGGAGTATGACCCTACCTGGGTTCATCTAGTATCGCCCACTCGAGAATATTTATATTATTATATTTAATGTTTAACGAAATTCTGGGAGGATATTACATCTAATAAGATATGACCAATCTTATTATAAAAGTACTAAAATCTTCCCTCGCTAATTTACCTGGATACGAACTTAGCAGCTCACTATAGAAATGTTAGCAACGAAAAGGGGAGGGTATTTAGGCGGGGGGGGGCGTCCCTGAAACTTTTATACAGATTCAAAACCAAACTTATTCAAGTGTTCATTGTTAGCTCAGTGCAGATAAAACGTGATCCGATGCTAAATCTGATAGTTGAAACGTAGTTTCGAAACTTGGAAACCTTATTTAAGCGATTTGGGAGCTCTTTTGAAACATCAAAAAGCGGAGCCGGTCGGTGTAACGTTGCGTCGTTACGCCAAAAATGTACTCTTTTCCATCCGTAGATTTACTGTGTCTCATTGAACTGTAATTACTATAACTGTAAGTCATTTACTGTTATCGATATATAGTTGTAAACGTTAGCTGTACTAAATGTCCAGTTTTATATCTCTAGTCACTGATGATCGTTCGTGCAGATAGGTCTACAACACGTGTTTACAGGCACGCGCGGCAATGAAATGTGTCAGTTAACAGCGGAACTAAACCGCGCGCACGTGCGGTGCGCGCAAAATAATTAGCAAGTAATTAATTTGCTAATTTGAACCAATGGAAATACAAAGAATCGAATGAAGTAAAAACATAATCTTTACTGATCACTACTTTATCTAAAATAAGCATTCCAACAAAAAATCACTTATTTACGGGAAAATTGCTAAAATATTGATTACGTAATATGTGAACGACCCCTTTTGACTCTAGTACTGGCTCGATGGAGTTATCTTTGAGCTGTTCGAGATTAGAGACATTAGAGAATGTAGTTTATCATGATTTATTTGGGATGATTCAACTTTTATGAGATTAGATGGATCAAGACTGTTCTGTTGACTGTTCCTATGATGACGCCTTGGTCTTCCAAAAAAGAAGTGCGTCGGCCGGGAATCGAACCCGGGCCTCCCGCGTGGCAGGCGAGAATTGTACCACTCAACCACCGACGCATACTAATGATGCGATGATCAACCGAGTAATTCTTACAGGACGAAACGTATTTACAAGAATATGTGGCACAACAACTACACAGCGTTAAAGCGAGACTCCAGATTCTTCGAACATATAGTCTCAGTACAAGTGACAGTGATGAAATAGACGGGACCGTGCTCAACGTGAAATGTGTCCAATCATCACAGGTATTCCTTAACACAGATGAATAAATAATAATATAAATTTATATTTTCACCTTTATATCAATTTGTCTTCTTCAAAATAGATTTCTGATATCTGGCCCAAAAAAGTAAAACTCTCCATAATTCCAGAGCGAAGTCAGTAGTGATCCGTACGTATCAGCTTACAACGCAAGACTGGTCAACCTGGGAGTGAACCAATCCCTTGTCAGACCACGTCTTTCTTTGGAATGTGCAGAAACCTCAGACATTTGCTGAAAACCATCTGCCAATTTGACGTCCTGTCAGCTGTACGTCAGTTATTTTCTTATTCCTCCTTCTGTTTGTTAGTTGTTATCCTGCACCGTTAATAGTATAAGTTAAAATTGTTGAAGCTGTATTTCACACAAGATATAAAATATAAAGTATCCATGATGATAGACAGAAATCATATGGATTTCCTTTTAAGAGAACAAACTGGATAGGAATATTATTCATTTCCCGTTCTATTTATTTAAGGAGTACTCAAATTATGTTTACACACGTTAGCTTAGGAATATAGCAGCTGGAAGATTCTTATCTTCATGATATTATAGTGGACATATTCAGAGTTCTCTCTTGATATGGAAGAACATTTTAAATGAAGTCTACTTGAAACTTAGATCAAAAATTAAGAGAAGGACCTAAATTATAGTGATATCAACCTCCAATTTCAAATGTGTCCACTAAGATAGAAGATTTTTCCGACACACCGTTATATTAAGTTTCGATAGTAGGTAAATATATTGTCTCAAATCTCAAATTATTTGTCAAGTTGTAAACCTATTTGTCAGTACATACGAGATTCAGTGATCGTGTTTTACATACGAGTGATAGGGCACGTTTTCAGTGTTGTATTAAACAATCGGTACTGTAAAACCTTTTTTTTTCGTGGGTACTGATTTTACGGATTTCTTTAATTGGATCATTTTCGCGGCATCAATTTACGTGAATTCAAATGATTGAATTCACAGTATGTCACTTGGACAACAGAAGAGCCTTTTATATTATTATAATAATGGTACACTTTAACACAATTTTATACTAATAGTTACAATTTTTAGGGGATATTGACTTTTATTTCCGAATCGATTAACATTTTGTTTAGTCACTCTTCAATGACGCCCTCGTTTTAGCTGCAGACTATATAATATAAAGGACAATTAGAGAAACTATAAGATTATTATTCTAATCTGCAGTTTAAAGTGCGTTAATTGCAGGATTGATTGATGCATATAATTTTGGTTCTTTGGACACAAATCAGAATATTAAACATACGGAACCGCTAGATCTAGACAATGAAAGTGTTTTTCTTTTATTTCTTTTTAATCATTTCTCGTTTGAATGTACATGTTGGGTAAAGTTTATCGGAGGTGACATACTTCATCAGATTTCTTAAACCAATTTTCACTAATTGTAGTGTCTCAGACGTATGCTCATCAGTGACAACCAACCTGTGTTGTGTGATAGAAACACGAAACTTCCAAATATTAGGAAAATATATACCTGCTTAAAATGAATGAGGGTTTGAGCGAATTTGTTTTTTTATAATAATCTCTTTTTCTTGCCCTTCTAATCTGGTACCACTGATGAACACACGTTAAAAAGAATTAAATTTTACTGACTTTGCCCAATATCGTATGCTGATTGGCTACTGCTGATATTAACTGTAATTACTGAGGAGGATTTCGGTGTTTTTCGCTATTACAAATATAAATATCCTCCCCATAAATGAAGTGCTAACCGAATATTATATAACAGATCACAGTAACTGTAATCTTTATTTGCATTTATTATTATTATTCCATGCTTGTTATTAATATAGAATATATTTTTGTTACTAATTAATCATTATAACCTCATTATATAACCGTTTAATGTTTGTATGGCCTGTGTAAAGTATTGCTGTATTTCTTAACCTAAAATGTGACACGCAGTTCGATAAACTATTCGTTTTATTTCGGGGTTAAACGCAAGACAAAATCAGAATCGTTTAAGTTTCACAGAAAATGAATTCCACAGGAAAATTGTTCTATAGGAAATAGATAAATTACAAATAAACACGACTATTTATTGGTAAATTATACATTCATTGATTCCATTTACACACTTATACAAATAAAAAACAAAACGCTAAAACATACACTATTTTTTCTCCAATTCACCGCCATCCTGGTAGTCCTATAACTAATATGGATCACATCTCCAACTACCCTTTAAAACTACACCTGCAACTGTCACACATTCCCGCCACATTCCGGCCTCCCCGCACTATCAACTCCCAGGTGGTCCTCCTCATGGTCTTGTTGTGTTTAAGGAGCATGATGGTGTTCACAAATCCGGTTACTGGCATCGCCATGTAGTACCACAAGGTTGCGTACAGCTTTCCTGTGGGGGTTGCTGCTATCAGGTCGAACACAGAAGTATCCGGCTCAAACACGTACACTAGCACTTGCATGATGAAGATGAAATGGATTACCAGGTAGTTGAATGATAGGGATAAAGTGCACTTGATGACGGCGGCTTCCATCCTCGTCAGACCACTGATATTATCCCGGATTGCCTTACGCTTGGCAATGATGGCAACAACCGCACTCCCGCTAGTTAGGGAACTGCTCCGATCTTCTCTGGAGGGGATGGATACTCGCCTAGTGTTTGGATTTGATAGACGTCTCGTGTTGGGATAAGATATAGGTCTATTGTTTTTTTGGAAAGTGGGTTCTTGGTGGTGAATGATACAGTTCTCGGGTAAGACTGGGCAGGAGTTACCTGTACCAGTGTCGTCTTGTTGTTTCGCTCGTTTGATTGGAGACTTGAACAGTTTCAACGCAACTATAAAGTTCCCAGCTACGATGATAAACCATGCAATTATGAGAGGCACGGCAAGAAGAAAGAGGACGAGGAAGTAGCCGGCGTTGTGGTGGTTTGGAATAATCTCGGTCATCTTGAAATCACATGTTGCCCAATCTGGTTGGTATCTCATCTTGTGTCCTGCAATGAAGGGGGCCGACGCCACGCCGAGACCTGTCGTAGGGATTGCTATTTTAGGAAATTTCAAATTATTTCTCGTTTAGTGATGAGAGGTTTTTTTCTACTTATAAATTTTAGCTAAGTATTTTTAGCTAAAGATAGAATTGAAAACTATAAACTTACCCCATAGCCAGCTTATAGAGAACCCGATCCAATAAAACGGATGATTGAAGCTGAGCTGGGAAAACCTAAATAAATCATTTATTAAATCCTGTATCACTGACTCAGTTAACATTCAATTTGGATAAGACATTCTAAGATATTTCTAGATTTCTGATCGGTGAAGCTTACTTGACGGGGAAGGCTATAGCAATGATTCTCTCGATAGTAGTGATGGAGAGGAGTAGGGGGGTTGATATCTGGTTCAGATTAACCAGAATGCCAGGAATTTGACAAAACAGAATGTCTGTGGGTAGTTTTTCTCTCTGGTTAACCAGACCCAGTCCTAACACTACAGCTTGTGTTCCTGTGGTAAAGAGAGGGATCAGTTGTGGGAACCTAGTGTTAATGTTATACTTATATCGTGATATCAACGAATAATGACTACTCCTGTAAAAGCATGGTGCGGTGCCCTATTTAAATTCCTGTGGTACCATAAAACCAAACTGAAATTCCTAGTTTCTTTGTCCACCTGCGATCAGGTTACTGATAGTGATGTGGATCAAACAGTTGGAACTTCTGGTACGGGTTCTCTTCCAACCGTAAAATATCATGATGTTCAGGAACATCCCCAGAAATCCTGAAATTTCACTTTGTATCACAGAGTGTTCACTTCTCCAGAACAGCTTAATAATGTTTTTAATTTCTTGAAAGACGACCGAGCATGATCACAAGCTAATGAAACGTTTCACTCACCAAGGAATAGATTGATGGAGCCAAATATCAGATTGGCAAACTTCACAATAAGTGCCATAGATGTACTAACGTAACTAAATAAAACTGATTAAGATTTGGCAACGAAATGATACTTAATTCAGAACATGTAAGACATATAAAATTAGTAGAATAATTTTTGCCAATGAAATAAGTTATCAAACTCACAATATTTGCTATAGCAACGTCCACGTCAGCTTGAGCTAGTGTCATAACTACTAAGAGGATAGCGAAAAAAGATACCGCGAACCCATGATTTCTACTGAGACCCTGATTAATATACATTCTCTATTACAGGGGCATAAACCTTGTAACTCTCCTGCCGACTTTCAGGAACCATGGGATAACACCAGTCTCGAGTGATTAACAACAAATTAGAACTTGGATTGTTGTTTACAGGAACTTTATAGGTCAGGTTTACTACAGCATCTGGTCGATCAGGGCACAATCACGATCAGCCAAACATTTATTTCAGGCGTCATTTCGCTGCATTGAGATCTAGTATACTTAAGACGTTTGTGAGATAGAGACGTGCTTAAACAAAATTTTAGTTAAACAAATATAAAATTAAATAGCATCAAGTCGGCCAATTTACGAGCACCAGCTGTTGTGCCACACATCGCAAAATGTCGACCGTTAATTTACAAAATGTTTTTAGCTGCCCTTTCAAATCTAACAGTAACGGTATCAAATGAAAGATGCTGCAGTCCTACTCCTAGAGTTAGATCAAAGGACTCACGGTGGCTTCTGATGTCTTAAATTTGAGCCCTATAATTCCATGTGGTATTATTTGCAAACGTTGATTGACTTTGCAATCTTGGAAATAGTTCAGATGCTCTGAACCAGAGCACTCCTAGTCTTAATACCATTATTAGGTAAAATCGACTTTTGTAGTCGTATCAACAAAATCGTTCGACTTAAAAACAAATAGTAATACTAATACAACGTACGAATTGATCAAAAACATTCAAAGCATTGTATTAAATGCAAATGGTTGTATTTGTTATGTGACTGTTTTTTAGATAAGAATGCTATTGATAATGATAGGGATATTGATAAAGCGATTTAACAAATTCACTTTAACTTTAGCCAAACAATTCTTGTGGCACAGGTGCACAACTTTAATATACTCTTTCATACGCTTAATTTGTCACAGTTGGCGTTAACTCCATCGTCCAGGAGCATTGCTATTGGCTATCAGATGGAAATAACGGTCAACAAGAGTTTTTCCTTCGTGGCTGTAGTCTGTTATAAATGATTCTTAATCTAGGCTAGTTTGGATGTAATAGGTGCCGAAATGATATCGGTGGATTCAGATTGAAGTTTCTTAAGAATAAGTCCGCAGAAAATAAGTTGATAAGCAGGTGTCGAGTTTTTAAATTGACTGCCACTGTCACCATACCAAGCCTTTACAACAAACACACTCCTCCATATTGAAGACTTTTCGGTTTACGATTTGACCACCAATCTCCACTTCTAGTTCTACCACTGAAGTTTAAAGTAACCCCTCAGTGACCTTAGAGTTACTGTTAGATTTGATACACGTTGCATACCGATTACCGGGACGCGAAAAGAGGTATATGCAATATGCAACGTGCATCTTAGTCAGACCTAATTTGCATTGCCAAACGAATTTAAACGCTCTACTTGTGGTAAGGGGTCGTTTATGTATTACGTAATCGCTGAGGGGGAAGGGGGGATTTCTAAATGAATACGCTAGTGTAATTTTAACACAATAGCTATGTGTAAAACTGATTACGGAGGGGGAAGGGGGGTTAAAATGAGCCATAAAGTGATTACGTAATATTTGAAATGGGTTGTGACTTGTGATGGGGTCCGTAGTCCCCACACATAGTATCATGTCCTTGTTTTACTGACTACTTCAATGAAGATCGTACATATGTACGACTATGACCCCTTACCGATCATGAGGCACACAGGCAAGCTCCGTAAATAATAACCAAACTAAATGCTAAAGCCAGTGCTTACCTCAAAGCCTGACTTTGATCCGGACCGCAGTCCGCACCGATGGTTGAACTGGCTAAAGGTTGATTTACCTAATCAGGTAATTATAATTTAATATTGATGGAATATGTTACTTCATCAATCTTACACAAGATACCGGTGCAGGCCATTCTGATTAGCTGTCAGCCCTGGGCCGTATTACTTAGCTAATTATGATAAATTGCAGGGCCCGTAAACTCTTCACAGGGCCCGAAGACGTACTCTGCGCTATCTTGGTGGGTCTTGATGAATTATTAGCGTGCTCGATTTGATCGATTTCACCGATACGAAGTGACATGATCATAGTAATCTTGCTGATCATATTCATTGCGGTATCCAGTATAACTATCTGAAATCGTAACCTCTATATAAATTTATATTTGCAAAGAAATCGAGTGGTAACGTTTACAAAAATTTTGTTTAAAAAGAAGTAATGTAAGCATGTTCCAGCTTCGAGGGAGAGAGAGAGAGAGAGAGAGAGAGAGAGAGAGAGAGAGAGAGAGAGAGAGAGAGAGAGAGAGAGAGAGAGAGAGAGAGAGAGAGAAATCTTGCATTGAAGCTTCTGTACTACATTAAACAATTTTTAACATCGTTGTGAGGCAGTCAACAAGAAAACTTAATCAGATATAAGACATAACAGCGGCGGCACAGACCGAAACTGTGCTGTAATATTGCCAAGCGGTACCTTAAATTAGGAATACCACGAAATCTCACTACCATCTACGTCAAAATCTAAACTGGGACTCATGTCAACTTGTATAACTATAAATATATAGAAACTAGAAAGTTCAAACTATACGTCAGAAGAATGACATGGGTGATGGGCATCTTGCGATCAGTTCCTTCCGTAATTGGCAAAACGTGTCCTGCATGTCCCGCATGAATACTTAATACACTCTAGAAGTTGCTACCCTGATTATTATAGACAACTTCGTTACTTATAGTGAACTCTGACACTTGGTGATCATTTTACGGTTAGGTAATTTAGAGTTGGATTCGTGGAAGGTTCCACGTGCGGATACTGACACCGCTCCACGAGTGGTCAATATTGTTGCATGTCGGAGTGTTCACTGTCATTGTCGAACGGGCACTTCAAAGGAGATATTTTCGAGGAGTGCAGTGGTAGAAAGGATAAAAACGGCACGCTGACGGCTGATGAAGTGGCTGGTACGGTCTAATGCTCTAATGATTTCTTCATCATGGAGTGGATATCTACATTTTAACAGGGCTGCAGGCTGGATCAAGCTCTATTGGGCGGGATGTAAGACTCTGCAATATTTCTGTATTACTGTAAAGTGTAGCAGCAGCATCTGCAGACACCACGGTAAAGCGTAGATTTGGAAGTTTGAAATTACCCAAGTCAGAAAATCAACTAAAGTGAGTAGTCAGATATCGACTAATTGCGTCATTCTTTCTTTTTTAAATCGCTCTGTGAATTTTATTTCCAAGTTTCCATTTCTTGATCCCATCCTTGAAGTACGCTATAGTCCCTATATTAGACACATCAAAACTCATCGGATCAATTATGCATGACAACTGATGCCGATTATATCCTAGTTTAAAGACTATAATTAAGACTATGTGAGTGAGAATGTATGATGTAGAAATTAGAAGTAAAACAACAAATTAGAGGAAACAAGTAGTAATCGTTCAAAATAAGGTATATAGTATGTATTATAGTGGTACTAGCACTATTGAACACGCAGCTAGCAGAGGCGAATCGGCCCCTTAGACCATTATCAAGTTCATAATCAATGGGAGCATATTTCCCCTAATACTAAGCTAGTAGAGCTCGATGTGCTGGAAGTCCCATTGTAGAGACAGTTAGCCGTGGGAGGAGCTTAGCCAATAGTTTTTATATTTATTATATCCCGCCACAACACCCTCTAGGTTTGGTAAATATCAAGCCTCAATTGACTTGAACCCCGAAAATCAAAATTCAGTCCGATCCCTTTCGTTACAACCTGTCCAACTGCCTTTTGAATTTTGATAATTACATACGATTTTGGTAAATTGCAAATATGACTGAACTTTCTCCAGGGGGTTAGTACCACCATCTTTGTAACAAGCGTAAGGGGTTTAGCAAAAATGTATTACAATTTTACGTTATTATATGGGGCATCAAGCTAAAAGAGGACAAGCGGGCCAACGTGTCTTGGTGACGATTCGGAAAAAGCTCGCGGCGCGCAGTATGCGCGTCGCACTAGAAGCTATCACGAAAAACTTTCTATAGCAATTTGAACAATGTTTGCTAGTACCACAGTTAATGTTCAGCATTTTACCACAACAAAATATTAGGGCCAAATGTGATCCAAGTTGTGTGAAGTTGTCCTCCAACTTCGGAGGAATCTATAATTTTACAGAACAGAAAAATTAGAAAAGCCAAAGACAAAAATTTGTTAAATATTATCTACCAGTTCTACAAAAAAGCTTAATCGCAACATCACAAAGAATATAAGATAAATAAGATAATAAAATCATCAGGAATCCAAATTAGGTAACTTATTTTAGATCTATCCGAAAATAGTTGAACGCAAGATTTTAATAACAGTTTTTGATACCATTTTTATTGAATATCAAGTAATATGCAGCACAGAAAATCCGCATGCAGTTGATCACGGCTCACTTTTGCCTTACAGCAAGCCGTCATGTTCTCGTATTGGTATTATCATACACTTCATCATTGAAAATTGAAATCCTTCCTCGACGTCTCCAGGTTTCCCAAAAAAAGACTTATCCGATCCAGTCAAAAAACGAAGCATGGTCTGCAACGCTGACATTTTTCGGATCGTCGCTTTAAGAGACGCGATTTTCCAATTACACAAGATCGGCTGCGGCGGATTAATCTGGCTGCGGGGCTTAGAGCTATTTGGGAGCAGAATTCATTACTCATTCTAAAGGAAACGCAAATCCTTGTGATCTTCAGTTGTACTCAGAATTCTCACTCTTGGACGGAAGCACTCATAAACCCAAGTAGTTTGCCACTGTCACATTTAGCAACGATAAAGTGAAGTACTGGGTTGATGATCCCCTCCCCGACTGTCAGGTGATATACCTAAAATTAAAAGTGTGTTAAAAGTACAGATATTGTAATCATGCTCTGTTTGAGAATATTAAGCTTCTTCCGCTAACAGCAAGCGATATAAATTATTGGCCGATCTTCAAACATGATGCATTCTGATTTCCCAAGCAAGTTTGTTAAACATTGACCTAAAGCGTACGTGTCACGTGATGCACGTGACATCAATACTTCTGGAAAATAACCAGATACAAACAAGTTCAATATACGATTAAAAGGTTGGACATCAGCCAACTGGCACAGACACTGATAGCCCCGAACCGAACACATACAACATAAAATATTCCTAATCATACCTCGTCATAGTTTTCGAAGATAGTAGAGATGATATCCGTGGGACATTTGTAAACATTCATAGCGTCCTCACCTTGGTAGCTGATTATGGGCAGTTTGTTCAGCATACCTGAAAAATAGAATCAATTAGGAAAATAATCATATAATTTTCAAAAAGATTGACTGAAGTGGGATTCGAACCCACGCCCTTTCGGACTGGTGCCTAAAACCAGCGCCTTAGACCGCTCGGCCATCCAGCCATGTATCAATAGAAATGTTTAGTTTATAAAATAGAACAACAAAATGCGTATTTTGTATTGCGTAATCCATTTCTTCGAAACGGACACACAATACACATCGAGATCGAATAGAAAGCTTACCCGGAATAATGTGACGATATCATTTAACAGACCTCTGGAAAAGAATGAGTAATGGAGTGAAGCTTTGAAAGAAGCTGAATCCAGTCCCAACTCTGCCAGAAAGCTATCCGGGGTGAACTCGCCGACCATGGGAAAGACACACGGTACACAAGTGTAGTCGATGTCACTCTGCCAGAAGAGACCCTTTAAAGCGATGCTGAGTTGTTTCAGAGCTTCACGATCCGTTTCACTCAGGGTTGATAGTGTGCCCAATGCACCCTGTAAATATATGAGTACAGCTAAAGTAAACAAGTTCAGGTAAAAAGGGAGGAAAATCTCAACGGAAAGCCAGAAAAATTAGTTGGGTATTAAAATGTTGGTACCTCAACAGTAACACATTTGTGACTGTAGACGAGTTTCCCTTTATCCAGTAATCCCTGGGTTTCCTGTGAAGTCTTGTACAACATAAGCTTATTGTTGATGTCGTGAAGGAATTGCGGGAACCTCAGGTATGCCTCAGGGTTGAAGGAGGCGGGAGGAATGCCGGCTGAGACAGTGCTGGAAAGGAGGGCGAGATGGTGCGCTGCAGCAGGCACCTGTCGCAGGAGTAGTCGAGTGGTACTGATCATTCTAGAAGTTTTGTAACAGTTAATTTAGAAACAACTGAGTGGTTCAATTTCAAAGAAATTTCTTTTTTCAAAAAAACAGAACAAAACCTATCGGTTTTCAGTTAAATGAACAGAGACACAAGCTGCCAAGGTTTACTTGGCAGTGTGCCAAACCAAGTCATCTCATACAATAAACTGTTCATTGTACAATAGGCCCAACATTGAGACACAATGACGTATTGTACTTCTCATGTATGAGTTGTGTATAATAGGCTAACTTCAAAGACAATAAAAATGAGATCATTATATATGCTGATAATTGTGAGACAACTAGGAAAAGCAATGCAGGACGGGAATAGATTATTATGTTTTCGAGAAATATTGTCGTGTGCCGTATGTGATATTAACGAAGCGAGAATGAGCGAGCAATAAGCATAAAGAACTAGTATAAGAGTAGCTCACTGAGATGTAAACTGCCCGCAACGTGACAAAACAACTGTGTTAGCACTTAACAGCTGTGTTTAGCTATCAACGTGGAATGGAAGTACTACTACCGATCCAAAGATCATGCAAGGAAACAAACACTACCTTCTAGAAAATGTAATATCTGCCAAGTGCCAACCTACGAAAAGCAACCTGTATGTGACTGTTTATAAAGCGACAGTAAGTATAGGTACATTTGACCAAAACCCATAATCATGGGTAGAGTGGACCGCTGCCAGTGTCTCTCTTTCCCAAACAAAAGGAAATGATATTAATTTGATTGACCGTTCTCAAATGCAAAATGATACCGAGAATGAAATCGGTCGCTCGCTTTTCCCATTCATTCACGGCTTACGAATTGTAATAAGTTTCGATTGATTAGGTACATCAATCAGATGCTGTAAAAATCTCTTTGGGTTGCGTTCGGGTCGATACCTAGTATTTCGGGGTAAGGGTGGTAGTTATTACTTATTGAATTAGTTGAAGTTTATTGAATCTTTATTGCCGAGTACAGCTGCCTTTGGGTAGTTCTTCTTAATCTATTACAATTGTAAATGAATGGGAAAAGCGAGCGACCGATTTCATTCTCGGTATCATTTTGCATTTGAGAACGGTCAATCAAATTAATATCATTTCCTTTTGTTTGGGAAAGAGAGACACTGGCAGCGGTCCACTCTACCCATGATTATGGGTTTTGGTCAAATATCATCTCTTTTTGATTATAATGTCAGGGTACTTTATAAAGTCGAAATATAAACTGATATCTTCATTAATAAGGAGGAAGTTTCAACAATTTCGAAATTTTTCCTTTAAAAATATTTCCTTGTGTTTAGGTAAGGATTTTTTTTTTTTTTTTTATTTTTTTTTTTTAGAGAGGCTGGGCCTGGTTGGCCCACGAGAGGATAGCATATGAATGCTTTGCCTACCTCTGGGGTATGGCAGTCCTGTGGGAGGATGCCAGTGGAATCAAGATGTGTAATCAAGGATGATGGTAAGTGTTGTGGGGTGTGTCATAGACAAACGCTTAAGTGGTGGTTGAGTGTGGAAGAGAGAGGCGAAATAAGACGGCGTTAAAGTAGTCGCTATGTTACACCTGTCTGGTCCAACTCCTCTGGCACCACTAAGCGTTTAGTGTGGTTTGTAAAGTTGACAATGGTGGAGATGTGTTGGTTGTCGAATATGTCATTGACAGAGAGGTAGTAGTCCCGGAAATATTGACCTCTTATTTGGGCAATAGCCGGGCACTGTCCGAGAAAGTGTGAGACAGTCTCCTCTTCGTCGCCGCATTTAGGACAAGCACTTGTGTCTGATTTGCGAATGGTGTGTAGGTGTTTGTTGAGGCCACAATGTCCCGTGATGAGGTGCACTGCAGTTCTATAATTTTGTCTGTTGTTACTGAGTGTAGTGTTGAGATTTTTGATGATGTTGATGTTTTTATGTCCAAGTGTCAGTTTAGTGTGTCTGGGACCATCAGTAATCCATGATTCTTGATTAAGTTTTGTGACTTTGTCGTTGATCAGGCGTTTGATGTAAGATTGTGGAATTGGGCAATTCAAAGTGGATTCACTGGTTGTACCATTTTTGGCCAGCTCGTCTGCTTTTTCATTACCCCACAATCCAATGTGTGCAGCTATCCATCTGATCTCTAAGGTGTTAGTGGATCCGAGTGTATTGAGGGTGTCGTAACAGTCTCTAGTAGTCCTACTCCTCGTTGAAGGTGAGGATATGGCTTGAATAGAGGAGAGACTGTCTGACCATATGATGATGTGTGTGTTTGTATAAGTTGATAGATATTTACAAGCTTCGATGATGGCAGTGAGTTCTGTTTGATAAACGGTGCAATAATCGGGAAGCTTGAATGATCTTTCATCTAGTGTAGTGTTGTTGTTGTCTGTGGTGATAATATAACCAGCCCCGCTACCTGAGTCTGTGCGTGACCCGTCTGTGTAGCAGGTGATGGTTTCACTGGGGATGTTGTCGATGGTGTTTTGGAGTGAGCCTCTATAACCAATGTTGTCAGCTCCAGGAGTGGTGACCGTGAAGCGTCGTTCAAGCATCATGGTTGGTATAGATAGGTCTCTCTCTGCTTTGGGTGGTATGTTGAGATCTACCATGAATTGTTTGTTGATAGTGGTGTGAGTTGTGATGGTACCTTTTCTGGGGGCGATAGTTTCGAGGGTTAGGCTTCCATAAGCTTGAAGCCTGGCTGTGCCCTTTGCTGCTTCACCTCTCAGGAAAAGTATGATATCTGGAGTGTTAGTGAGGTGGTTCAGTGCGATGAAGGGAGTACTAGGCATGGCACCAGACATCATTCTCAATGCCAATGCCTGAACTCGTTTGAACTTCCTCGCGTTGGTGTCTGTTTGGGTTGCTCTAATCCATATACTACAGCAGTATGATAGAATAGGTCTGATGACAGCGGTGTACATCCATTTGCATGTTTTAGGGCTCATACCCCAAGTGGGGCCGACAGCTCTTCTACATTGCATAAGGGATGCCGTAGCTTTTTTGGTGGTATTGGTGATATGTTCATTGAAATTGAGCTTGCTGTCGAGGGTCACTCCTAGGAATTTGGCAGATTTGGATAGACCTATGGTGGTGTTACCCACCACCACAGGTCTTAGTGTCCATTTCTTATTCCAGGTAAACATGACTATTTGTGTTTTGAGTGCGCTTATGGATAGATCTTTGGTTTGGCACCATTTTTCTATTGTGTTGATGGTTTTGCGTGTTCTGTTCCAGATGATGTCTAAATCATTCCCCTCCGCTAGAGAGAGCAGATCGTCTGCAAAAGCTTGCAGATAACCTGGTATGTCTCTTGCGGTGTAGGCCAGGAGATCATCGACTACCAGGTTCCAGAGGAAAGGGGAAAGGATGCCACCTTGAGGGCACCCTCTCCGGATCCGAACCCTTGTCGACTTATCCTTATGATTTAATGTGATGAATCTGTTAGTTACCATGTTGATAATCCATTGTGCTGTGGCCAGATCCACTTTCGTGGTCTTGATAGCGTCAGAAATAGCCTTGAAAGAGACATTATCAAAAGCTCCCTCTATATCTAGAAAGACGCCTAGGACATATCCCTTCTTAGCTATCCTGCGCTCGATGGTGTGAGTAACTTTATGAAGGGCTGCTTCGGTTGAACATCCTTTCTTAAAGCCAAATTGTCGTTTGTTGATGTCTTTAGCGATATTAAGGTCGTGTTGCATATGCCACAGTATCACCTTCTCCTGTAGTTTTAACATCACTGGAGAAAGGGTGATAGTGCGAAATGACTTTGGTTGGTTGTAGTCAGTTTTTCCAGGCTTTGGGAGAAAGATTCCAAGGGATTCTTTCCACAAAGTTGGAATGTGTTGGGTTTCATGATTTTTTGTCATAATGGTTCTGGTGATGTCTTTGATGTGTGTCCAAGCTTTCTGTATGATGATAGGTTTGAGGGTGTCGGGTCCAGCAGCTTAGGTAAGCATATCGGTCGATCACTGACTGAATATGCCACTTAATACTCATTCAAGTTGGCATTAAATTCATTTATAATGACATTAAACTGTCGTGGCAAAGCAGAATTTGTTGGAAATCACGAATGAGCAAAATTCTCACCTTTCGCACGTGCAAACTTTGAGCGGACGTTGCGTGCGCATCCAATATTGAATCGCCGTAAATTTGTATATGTAATTGTTTTATATATAGCTTGATAAGCATGCAAAGTTTCAAAGTATTTCAAGAAGAACTGTTATCACAACGGCACTCTAAAGTTGACAGAAAATGACGAAAACAGCAATTTTCAGTGATTTTAGCAATTTTCTATCAATTTGGGCGTGTCCCCACGTGTGCAAATTTTTGATTTTTAACTGTAAAACTAGCCTAATGCACAATTTATACCTATAGGAAGCAGAACTGAGCTCCACAACCCAAGGCATGGCCCAATACCAGAGAATACTAAATCGCAAAATTGACGTTTTTATAAAATAATTCTTCAAAAAAGCACAAACTTCAATGACGAATATCTTTATGAAGGAGCAAGCTAGAAAAACTTTCCGGTAGATTTTCAGAATGCTTGAACAATTATCTAAGATAAAAATTTCCTCAGATTTTGAATACAATTACTTTTTAATGGTGTAAAATCATTTTTAAAAGTTATTACTTTGTCAAAAATCAAGTTTTAAAAACGGTTAACTTGATGACATCATCAAGGGGTGTTTATGACGTCAAATAATTTGTTTATACAATGTAAACTAAAGTGTAAACAATTATTTTCAAGACCTGTGGTCGGAAATGGCTGTATCTTTTATACTTTTGAATCTATGGACAATTAAATACAGGCTACAATTGACTGGCAAAGCGTCTATCCCTGAATATATATATATGTATATAGATATCACGACAATCTGTCGAAAAACAGGGGTTCTAGAAAACCCACTTCCCGATGTTCCTGAAACCTGAAACTTTTTTTGCAGTCGATTTGGTCAACGTCTAGACGCCCTGAAAAATTTCAGATCTCTAACTCGATTTAAACATGGTTTTTAAGGCACCTAAATATGGCGATT